TCAGTTCGAACAATCAACGCAACCTTAGGCTCGAACCCTCCCTCTCACCCCGAGCTCACTCCTTTCCCCCGTATTCGGTAATGAATAACACGATCGAACACAAATTCGGCTTCGATTCCCCTAGTACCACGACGTGGAAGTATCCACGAATGCTCGCGGTCGATGGCCGTACACGCCAAGTATACGTATCCTTGCCAGCTTTTCATCCCCCCTTTCCATACCCTTCATCGTCAGAAACCGAGGAAAGTGGCAGAGACGTTGCACTCGCCGCACAACACTCTGACTAAAAAGATCCATTCTCAACAATAGCCAATTTGATTTCCACCCAAGTTCCCAGCCCTTCGTTCGACACCGTCACATCCGCTTGGCCCCGCTGGATGTGCGTACGCGTACGTACCATCCCTCATGTTGAATGGGTGAATATACCTGAAAATTTTTCCTTTTTATCATCAGTCAACCCACCATCCATACCACGCTCCCCCTGTACACACCTCAAAATCTTAAGCTTCAGCTTCCTGCTTCCTCGTCAACCCACATCTGGAATTTGTACATGTCCTGCGGGATCCATGCGTGTGTGATACATACTGATCTTTCACCAACCAAACTTGGCAGAAGAGAAAGAGCTTAATTCGCTGTGAAGATCCCCCTTGCTCGAGCCCGCTTTAGCTGACTGTGAACGAGTGAGTAGGGACAAGTGATATTAGGCTGGCTTTCGGGTCGATAAGTCGCGGTGGAGACTCTTTTCCTCGGCGCAGAAGAATTAGAAAGGGGAATAGACTGGAGGTGAGACGGATGATGTGCTGATCGGCGTGAGGATGCACTGGAGGTGTTTTTCTTGCTGAGGTTTGTATGAGTGCATCTGCGTGTGATTGGTGGGAATATCACATCACCCAGCACTCATTCATGGCTACTAGGAGCAAGGTTCGGGCTGCGCAGTCAGCCGTAGCACGAGTATACATCCCCATTCCTCTCTTCTTCCTTACTGACATACTGATAAGAACTGACAGTCTGGCACACTGCATTTGGATTACCATGGTGGACGGAGTGTCCGCAGAGGTCGTGTCTGTCAAATCTCCGATGGTAAGGACTTGTCCGAGGCTACGGCATGACGGAAATCGTTGATTCTTAAGGCAGTTTTTACGGCCCTCAAGATCCGTGATAAGACTCTAATAGGCTGGTTGTTGGTGGAAGAAGGGAAAGGAAAGGAAAGGAAAGGAAAGGAAAAGAGCGGGTTCTCTAGCTCTGGCACTGCGGTATTTGCTGGATGAGAGAAAGCAGGGTGTGAGGTGAAGAATGGGGAGAGAGAGGAGAAGCAGGCGTCGAGCCCTCACTCCCTCACCACTGGCCGAGGCGGAAGCGCATCCAGAGCGGAATAGAAAGAGAAACGCACGTCAGTTGTGAACGCCATATTAGCTTCCCCCACTCCGCACAGGCACAGAACGATGGGCTTCGTCAATAGGGGTTGGAGGACTTGTCGTCGGATGGGTCATATTTTGAAAAATGGATCGTGGCCGTGAAGGCAATTGTACAAGACCGGTGCTTGGGTGTATGTTGATCTTCTACTGTCATTTTGCTGGTGAGTTAACCTTCTCCATCAACCACCGGAGTTGTTTGACGGGAAGGAACAGAGATCACGAACAATCATCATCAGTAGCTATGACACATTTGCCATTCGACATGGTGCAGCAGCCATCCGCAAGCACCAGATTGATGAGATGATCGTGTCGAAGACAGAGGCGGATAAGCTTCGATTCTAGACAACTCGATGTGGGACGGGAGCCTGGCAAATTGTTTCGACTTAATGGTAACGATGAGTGCCATCTCTTGAAGTCTCTGCCAGCCGGTGTCCTTAGCTCAGTACGGCGGCTGGATGTGTTTAGGCAGTCGCCATGGCACGCATACGAGGACAGCGATCAAGTCTCCTACCAAAAGGACGATCTTGCGACCTCACTGGAAGTCAAGTCCCCTCAACCCGAATTTCTTACGGGAATGCTCCACGTCCTACAACGTAACATTGAGTCTGAGCTCTGCTATAGAATTCCGAGGGTTTGCTGAATTCACCGAGGACTGTTTCGAAAATCGGGTTCTGGAATCGCGCGTTCTACAACCGGTCCCGGACCTAGTACAATCGCGAGCATACGACGCACCGTTTCCAGAATAGAAAAGATTGGGGAACCATGATTCAGGGATTCCTCACGACCTATATCTTCAGCAACCGTGGCGGTATCGCTTACTCAAGCGTGTTTCAGTAACTATCGTTTCCCGAGGGCTGGCACCGCATCTTAAATCCAGCTTACTACATATATATATATATATATATATGGGCTTGGTCGTTTTTAGAGCCAGGAAAGTTATTAGGTGGCGCCTTTGATTCTCCAAAGTCATTCGATTGTGGTTAGTTTAGGTTTCGTGGATCCAGCTGCACTATTGTGCATGCCGGATCTCTCTTCGATACGCCTTAAATGCTATTGCGATTTTAAATCTTCAGGCATCCAGTATAGCGAGACCTGATCTGGTGCCGGCTCATGTTGCCTATTGAAGACTCTCTCGTTGCTGCAATTCAGCTTTCTCATGTTATTGCGATTTCCGATGCTCATTTCTCGAGACTTATATCTCGCTACGATGTGACATATATAAGACTCTAGTGATTCACCCACGGGGTTTTACTTCGTTTCTACGCAATCGATCATTGCTTAAAAGAATATGGTACGTTCTTTGGGTGTTGATGGATATTTTGCTAGACAATTTTCTCAAAAATTCCATGGAGATCTTGTGATAGACAGTCTCACCGAGGAAGAAGAGTTGTGAAATGACTGGAACTTCAAAACGGCAAGATGGTCGATCCTTTTGACTTGGTCACACCCTTTGAACACGATTCTGATGATCCTTACGAACCTGTTCTTATCAACGAATCCTTGGGATCTACCGAATTTAGATATTTCAGATCCAGGGCCGCTCAAGATCTCCACCTCACCCCATTCTATCTCCAATTTGTGGCGAAACCCCACTCTCTCCCTGCATTTAAGCAATGACAACGTCATCTCACGCCAGCTATACACACTGTCAATCGCGGAACGATGACCAAAACGGTTGAAAAAGACACCTGATCACACTCTCTCGATTGCGCCCAAAGCCGCTACGGAGGAGACAAAGAAGCAAGAGCCTCTTGTGACTATGGAGGCTGTTGTGGAGAAGGATCAGGAGTACTAATTGAAGCGAGCTCTTGATCTCTGTGAAGAGCGTAATTGACTTAGTAGATTCTAATGGTCAACCAAAACCTTTTCGCTACTCAACGAGTCGGTCAGAGATACCAGATCGTTCTGCTGCAACCTTCTTTGGTACGTCCGGCATCAATTATTATACCCTCGTGGATGCCGCTGCACTCGTACAAGCCCTGTGGTATGATGCCCAACCGCGAAGGTGGACCTCCCACAGTAAGCAGCGATGGCAACCACCTTGGCGGAGACTATCGGCCATTTTACTACCTCGGCCTCAAGTGGGAATGTCATACCGCAAGAGGGAACATTGACAAACTTCACCTGCGAAAGACCGCTCCAGCTGAAGCAATCGTAAGTACATTTTTGAAGGCAAACATCTCTCAACCCATATCATCTTTGACTCATAAGCCATGGTTGGGCGCAGCATGATCATCACACTCCCCAAATTGGCCTCATGACCCGAACGCTGTGCCTCAAAGAAGCCATATTACTTCCGAAATATGCAGTTGGATCCAACAAGACCAAGGATCGTCCGAGTTGCAGATAACCTTGTCCAGTCGACCAGGACGTTCCGACCTTGGTACATCGAAGCTTGGGCCACCTGCTGACGAACCCTGAGACGATGTAATCGAAGCAGAAAATGGCGACAACATCCCCCGCAATGGACAATCCGCCAATGGTAGAAGCCATTATCAATCCGCTACCTGGCAGCTCAAACTTTGAGGGCACCTGGCAGGCCCTGATGGACGAAGGATTTCCTGATGACAACGGATACTTCTAAGTCGCGCTCGGTTCGCCCGATCAAGGCTTTCCTAGCAGCCTTTGTGTTGCAGGATGATTCTGAGAGTTTCCTCCGATAATGAGCGTCAGAGAAAGCATGCCACCCATCCGGACCGCAATCTGCGGACATTTCGCTGTGGGATTGAAGCTGTGGGACCTTTTTCACAAGAACATTAGTATAGGGAGCACGATGACAGAGATGAATGATTCTGCAGCCTCGACACCTAGGATGTTTCGTTTCTACTAATTACGGGTAAATCTGATGCTGATTCCGAGTACCTCGAGAGCAACTCAAACACCCCAATATCGGGTCATGATGAAGTAGTTGACGGGCTTTTTTCCTTTTCCCTTTCTTTTCTTTCTTTCCAGATGCGGATGAGATCGATGATTCTGGACACTTCACGACTGAACCAAACATCTCACCGCCTGATCATCAAGAAGTGATCGACCAGTCTCTCCTTTCAAATAGATGTGAACTCAAGCTTATCTTCCTCTTCGTCTGTTCAACATCACCACCAAGGAGCCAGCAGCCAGCAGTATGTGAGCTTGACCCGAAAGGTACCAAATCACGCTTCCACGTCGATCATCTCTGCATCTGGCTCGAGCGGCTCTCAGAAGAGAGTGACCGGGACATGGATTGAGTAGGAGATGAGCTACATGCAGCGACCAGTGATATCAGCCATGTTGAGTCCTTCTGCATGCTGCTGTGTTGGATGACGATATTCAGTGGACTTTCTCCAGCCTTCTTCAACTCTAGATACGCATCTTGGTATTCACATCTGCTCCGGCTCCACTTTGGTATGGTATGTCCTGATCCGATTCTTCCCCTCCACCGACCATATTGACGCATTGCAGCTCCGTATATATGACTAAGCTGATGCAAGGCACGAGAAGTTTAGAGGCTATGCGATATCGTTCTTACAGACGCGAACTTACACCGACAAGCAAATATTAGTTGGGGTGACGGAATGGACTCTGCGGTGAGGTCGTCTCTCAGCGCCTTCAACGATACCATTGTCTACGGCGGAGTTGACCGCCGCCTACCTCCACTTCGTCCATCATCATCCTCCCATGCAGCGGCGCATTCACGCCATTTTTATAGCGACCGATCCTTTGAACGAGCCAGGGGACGAGCCCATCGATGGGCAGTTTTTTGTTTCTCGGTACCGTGGACTGGCGTGCACGGAGTCCCCTGCCTGGAGATTCCGCAATGGGGTCGCGACCGACCTCATGACCGTCGAGATCGCCGCCTTTTGGGATTTCTGCTTCCTTCGTGAAGCGCGGTTTTGGTGATTCGGGGGTGACGGAATGGACTCTGCGGTGAGGTCGTCTCTCAGCGCCTTCAACGATACCATTGACTGCAGTTACGCATAACTTATCGATCAATGCACTCTCACCTCCCAAAGTCACAGTATTCTCAGGCATCAACCTCGCAGTGCAGCCCACCGCTTCTTTCGTCATCGCACCCGACAAATACACAACTACCCAGATCAAAGCCGCCAACGTACTGCCGGAGGGCAGCCAAATGCGACACCGTGACTTTACCTCGTCACAGATATTGTCTCGCCGGCCAGGCTTCGTGTTCGGTGGGACCGTTGCGGATCTGATTGCAGGTCGAAAACTCTCCACGGGAGGACTCGCCGAAAAGCGGAGGCTGGATCTGGCGTTTCGCCACCTGCCATTGTTGAGGTAGAGACTAAGCACGAGCATCGATTGGCAGCGCTCCGTATGTTCGTCAAAAGTTACTATCGACCGGCGACGCCGAACATCTCTTGATCCCCCCCCTCCCCAAATTCGCAGTCGAGTGCGCCAGACCAGGATGGCACAAATGTTGGTGTAGGGTCTGCTCACCAGATCTTACGCCGTGATGGATGCAGCATCTAACCTTACCCACGCGCTGGCGTCAGAAGGAATCCCTAGCGTCAAGGGGAGATAGTGGCTCGGCAATTCGTGTTTATAACTCCAGCTTTTTGAGCAGACGAAGTCTTAATTATTACCTTTCGCCGTGCGTTGGTACAGTTTAAAGAAAATCCTGATTCCGTCCAGTACTCAGCCAATCCCATCCGGAAGCCGTAGTACTACGACCCGATCAAGAAGCCCAATCCCATCGAAAATGCTGTCGACACCTTTTACATAACTTTATTACACGAGTGACCGCTTCGGGGGAAACTAAGCTCAGAAGTTGCACGCCTAATAGGACCGGCGATTCGGTCTAAGTTGAACGCGGGGCGTCGAGAGGGGACGACATGTTGAGATGTTCACTTCAAAAAGGCTTGCAAGATCTGACCTCTTGCGATGCGGCCTGGTTGACCTACACGCTCGAGAAAGTCGACGAGGAAGAGGTTTCCTTCGCGCATCGTTGCTGCCGTGGTTTAAATTGGAGATGGCCGTTGTAGCGATGATGGCCCCGGCGTTCGAGTATAGGAGGGTTAAGTTTGTAAGGTGGTTGCGGAGATTGAGTGTGAGGAGGAAAGGCAGTTCTCAAGAAGGGATGGGTTCGTGGTTATATGTTGGAGGGCCTAGAAATGACTATCTAGCAAATATGTGCGATAGAGGGACTCGGTCGGTCGTGTCGCTGTATATGAATGTTCTTTTTTGTCTGGTAGACCGATTAGGTTTTCGAGGCAGTAGGGAAGATGGCAAGCGATGGCTTTACCAGGTGCACATGCATATGGTTCCCACAAGGCCGTGAGATATTCACGTATTAATGGCAAATCGTCCAATTCCATGCCCACCTGTCACCAGCTACTATTCTCATATGAAGCAATGTAATCTATTCATTCACCACGTTCGTACCCTTTCCACCATCCAAAGCACACCCCTTCGCCACTTTAGCATTGACCCTAGCTTCCTTCATAGACGCTTTGCTAATGTCAACATTTTCTCCCAAGACGCCTTCCGCCACATCTTTCATCGCCTTGAAGAACGCCCCGGGACCAGAAAGGGAGTACGTTTCGGTGATGTAGGGATTTTGGAAATCACTCGGATCCGTGGGCTTCTTCATGGTGGTGTAGTCGAGTGTTACGCACTTGAAGTCGTCTCTCAAAAGGCTGTCGTAATTTTGGAGGATGCAGTACCGGACATATTGAAGACAAGGGTGGTTGGGCGCACTGGCGAGGAAACTTTGGCTAGCGGTATGTTCTGCGGTAAGCGCGAATCGGAAGCCTGTTATATCTCCGATGGAGGGGACCGTCGTGTGGTGGTCGACGTAAATGCCAGGGTACGTTTGGAGGAGTTGCACTCGGAGAAGGTTGGATGCTGCGGCGTAATTTCCACGGTATCTTTCGAAAAGCGCCCATTGCAGCAGTCGGACTTCTGGCCCTAGGTTATCCCATCTAGATGCTAGCGTAGAAGTTTGGAGGCTGGGATAGCAAAGGGAGTTTTGGTTCCTTTGGTGTTCTGCGTGGAACAATGCTTCGTAGAAGTCGGAGAGGAAAAGTAGGTCAACATTGTGTAGATCGTTCTGTTGGAGGAAATCCTGAAACTTCTGGACCGTCGGAATTTGTGCTCGCAGTTGTTTGTTTAGGCGGACTTTATAAAATTCCATCTGGGCACGCACTAGCATCGCGAAGGTTTTGTTGATGTGGGTAGAGCTGATTGCTTTGTTCATGCCCGACGTATAGATGTTTAAGCTCGCGCGAGGGAATACTCTAGGGAGGCCGCTCGGTCCTTCCATCTCCAGCATTGAAAAGTCATCGAGCCACAGTCTGACACGATAGTCCGGGTTGTCCTTCACACATGCTTGAATCTCCGTCTGGTCGAAGTCCTCAAAGGTTCGGCCAAGCCAGATGTAGTTGATCTTCTTGGGAATTGGGATCTCATATCTGTCTTTGGCCTCTGGGGCTTTGGGCTCCGTTGAGTCTCCGGTTTGGACATGGGCTGGAAAGGGTGCATCGATAGCGCGAAGCATGTTGCGCTCGAGTTCGAGCTGAACGAGGAGGTCAATATGAATGACTTGCGTCGGAGTCGAAGGGGAACAGTGCTTTCGTAGATGTTAGCAGCCGACGTGCAGATATTAAAATAAGCGTCCGGAAATCAACCTTGCGGTTGGTTGCTTACCGACCGACACGCGTGAAAGTGTGGTTGCACAATACAGTATACCGCGGTGTGTAATTATATCAAGTATGAGTAAGGGGTTAGGCTATCATTCCTGGTGCTCAAGCAGACATGAGCTGTGTTACGGGATGAAAGCAGTTGCAAGGCTGTTTGTATGACCGATACTTGTAAGGATATAGGTTTCGGTGGATTGGGAAAGGGTTGCGATGGACGAAACAGCCCCGCTTGGACGATCCAATGACAGCTAATGCACGTCTCCGAGCGGTCGTGAGGCGCCTGACCAATGAGATCATTTTTAGCTGCCAGCCTGATAGCAGATGACTGGCACCATATTTGATTTTGCAGTCGTGTCTGAGTCTCTTCTCTTTTACTGCTTGGCGACACTGGGGACATTATCAGGTACCAGTGAGTAGAATGCAAGGGAGCGAGGATTTCCCGAATATATGGAGTTGATTAACTACCTATCCCGCCTGACAAGCCTCGTGTGGTTCACGGTACGTCGGTGATGAGCCCAGCGTATCCGATCAGTCGAGAATATGCACACCATCGACTCCAGTCGCCCCTTCACATCTTCCTGCCACTGTATTCATGAGGCTGATAGTAATTATGCGAGCTCGCACAATGATGGATCAAAGCACGAAGAGCGCTTGTGGCGGCACGCACAGAATGCTTTTTCCCGGATACTTCTGTAGGACAGATTTACTATAGTATGATTCCGGAATAATAGGAGGATGACATGTAGGCACGAAGCGAACGTCCTCGATTATTCCGGAAAGGATTCCGTGATCGTATGCCGGCTGTTGCGCGTAATGACCAGAGGCAAGGACGAAAGTCCGATGTTTGTTAGGCAAGCGGTATCATCCACATCAGCAACCACCCACACCCGAACTTTGCCACCTGATAGTGCGCGTAAATGCAAAAATCTATCACTGTAGATTGCCATTAAGCCGTTGATAAGCTTGCCGTTAATAGTCGACAGCCCACCCATTGTTCTCAAGAAACTCCTCGCACGCTTGCTTCAATGCTAGATTCGGCCGTATATCATCAGCTCGTAAAGGCTCTCTGGTCAGGGGATCTGTGTGCGATCGTTTGAAATGTTCCATTAGCGTGACTCGGTCGTAGGAGTTGCCGGTTTTTGTCGTCACGGGGTCGTGCATAACAGCGAAGGATATGCTGTCGATTAGGTAGTCCGGTACTTCCTTTCCAAATGTTAGCACTCAAGACCACGGATGCAAATTGGCGGATCATGTATACCCTCCGCTGCAGATTCTTCGGGTCCGCAATCGCGAAGATCGTCCTCAATTCCTCAACCTTTTTCCTGCACTCCAGCTCAATATCCGACTTCTCCTCCGCCTCTTCATTAAAATCCAGCATCTTGAGCCTCAACTGCCGCAATTCCTCTCGCTTATTCTTCATCAGCATATCCTCAAGTTCCCGCAACATCGAACTTCGATTCCGTATCCGCTCCCTTTCCTTGGCTTCCCATTTCTGCTTCTTTGCCTGCAAAACAAGGCCGGACACGGCGCTGGTCGACTTGTCGTTCGTTTCGAGGCATTTTTCGTAGGCAGTGATGGCGGAGGTGAGGGCTTCGTTTGGGTGATTCAGGGCGAGTTGGGTTTGGGCGAGGAGGTAGTATCCTTTCATGTTGACACGGTCCAGCTCTATTGATTTGAGGCAGTCGTCCATGCAGTTTTCGAATTGTTGAAGCTTGATGCGAGTCATGGCGCGGTTGGTGAAGAGCTTGGGGTTTGACGGGTCTTTTTGTATTCTGCTTGTGAGTGAGTGGGCGCCGGTGAGAAGAGAGGGTGAGCTGGTGGACTGTACGCTTGAGAGTAGAGACCCTCCGCTTCTGTGTATTCACCATTCTGGAAGTACCTGGGTCCAGTCAGCGTGGGGCAGTACTCAGATCGTAAGCTGAGTTTCCTCACTTGTTCCCCTCCTCCTTCAGAGCAACAGCTCGGTGGGCCATGCTATCGGCGACCTTGTGAAGGAAGCAATGTCATCCTCATGATTTGAAGTGCGCCACCCAGCTGATGCTGCAGGAAGGTTGCTAGCATATGCATAGAAGCTGATGGATCATTTGTCGCCGCCAGCTCGGGTGAGCTGAAATGCTTGGCGCGGGAATAAGACGGATATACTGAAGTGATTGGCTCCTAAATTCCGTCGCTGCCCCCAAAATACAGCCACCATTCCTTCACCCTTCATGGCTCTAAGAAGATCACTTGCCATTGCATCTTCATGCCTACAGGAAGTCGCAATGCTATTAGACTAACATACCAGGACCAGCGCGGGAAGTCACTTAGCAACGAGACAGAGAGCTGACGCCTTACTCCACTTTCATCAACATTAGCTGACCTTCTCGCAACCTCTCCTTCAACTCTTCCCTGCCTTGAGTTCATGATCTCAAGGCTCGTGCATTTCCTCTTAGATCTCATTGTCCAACGATGTCTCGACAACATTCTCCAGAGCTTCGGCATCGTCTGACAGTCCAGTCACCATGTCCTCTTAAAAGCCCACCATCACAGTACCCTGCCCTCTTCAAAAGTCCCTTACGATTCACATCCGAACTGCCCTGACCCACCATAGCATCAAGCTAATTCGCTGGCGAGGGGGACCTTTGAAGAGA